GTCCACCATTATATCGATATTTTTAAAGCCAACGAAAGCTCTAAAAAGTTATAGGCACATTGTATTAACACTTTCTATTAAACAAGGCCTAAACCTCTCGATGAAACATGAATAATGTGAAACCTCGTAGAACTTCTGTTCGTTTCGGCATCATTCTTATATCAACGAATATGCACATGACTTCATCACTTTCTCATAGAAATATGACACATTTTTTGTTTTGAAACATCTCTTCAAAATATATTTATTTTGTAAACAAAAATATTTACTTGTTTCCATCGAAGGACATTCAATTGATGGATTTAAATCTAATATCAGCAACTGTTACGACTCCCCGACAAGGTCAGCACGATTGCCAAGACGAAGTTAGTAGCACCGCAAGAATTTTCTTTGTTCGAAATGAAAGACTGAATTAAACATTCAAGTGGAAATCTAAATTTGCAAAGTAAAAAAAGAAACACGTAGATTACTTTTAATCATATTTGGGTCACCGCAAAGCTAAGGTTCACAAGTGTTAAAATTCACACACACACAAAGGCAAGGGCACTTAATAATGCTCTTTGGGTATTTGCATTGCATACTTTTGTGATGAAAATGTAACACTTCTATCAAATGAGATTTTCTTGCATATGTTTAGTATTTAAAAGAAAGAAGAACATTGAAGCATACTTTTAGGCGTCTTTGTCTTAAAGAAGGATATATTACGTATTGCTTGTGCCTAAATGAAAACAACCTTCTTTAATTGTAAAAATTACAAGCGTTTATTTATATTAATTATTTTAACTTGAGCTGGTTTCTTGACAGTATTTACAGGGGTGTAATTAATTGGTAAAAAAATACAAGTTAATGTCTGTGGAAAACTGAGCCACAGCCATATTCTACACTCTTGGGGCAGATATTCCATTTATCAAATAATAAAAAAGATTTAATAGAATTTGGACATACCATGTCAGAGGATTAGGCAAAATGATTAATTGAAGAGAGTCCAAAGACAAATCACATGTCTTCTTTTAATGGCATTTACATCTAAAAGCACGGCATATAAATCAAACAAAAATAAATCTTTAATGGATCTAGGTGGAGGGAAAATTATGGTATGAATTTGTAATTGGGCGCCATCTATCGATATGGACTTCTTTTTCTGAATGTTAATAACACTGTCCAACAAGAAAAAAAAAATAATTACAGGAAAACAAATCTAGAAAATTGTGAAAGTACAGCTAACAATAGAAACACGTGTTTCGATATTTTAAAAGTTTAGATCATAAAGTTACCCAACTGGAGGAGGAAATTTGCACCATCTTTCACATTTTTCAATGGATTTACCTCAAAATTGTAATTTGGTTTCTTCATTCATTCTTTATTTTATATATAAGGGGGCCCTAATATAATCTCATATTTATAAAGGGCCACAAAATTAAATATGAATTTGGCAATTGATAATCTTTGCTTTTATGACGTAGTACCATCAACCTCACTTAGAATTTATAATACACCATACCAAATCGGAGTGGAGAACTAAGGGGGTACAGTTACATGGGGGTTATTTAGAAATATTTACCTTTAAGAAATACTCCTGTCGGAAGAGTTTTTAACCTCAAAAAAACCAAAATACAAATTTTCGAACAAATCGGTTGGAAAATATGGTAAAAACTCTCACAATAACTATATATATTTATAAATATAGGGTTTGTACCAAAACGTGGACCTAAATTTATAATTTTTGACACTACGTTTCTCTACAATAAAAACTAAAAAACTAAAATTTTGGCAAAATTAAATAGAAAAAAATATGATTCAAACCTTAAAAAGTCTTTACATTTCTTTATAAACTATTAGACTACATAAATGTTTATATTAATTTATAGTGAAATTTTTGTGCAGAAAATTTCTTCTTTTGACGCTTTGGGTCTGAAACGATGTTTTATGTTACTTTCGGGTATTGAATCGAAAAGAGGGCGAGGAAATTTTTTTCAAAAAATATGGAAATATTTTCTCGTTTTTTTTGGCAACATTGAGGCTAATAATTTCGTATATACAGGGTCAGGTGAAAAAACTGCAACCAACTTCAAATTACCATCATTTCTAAGCCACTAGTCCCACAGCTGTTAAAATTATTCCAGTGACAGCTCATTATATTGTTTACAAGCGTACAAAAGCATTTTGGTGAGAATTTTCAAGAAAAAAAGTTATTCGTGATGGAGTTCAAGCGTGATAGTGTGATTTCTTCATATTTGGCTGGAAAACCACGTTAGAGCACTCCAGCATTTAATGAATAAATCTCTTGTGTCTCGTACCATCGCTCGTTACCGTGATACTGGTAGCGTAGCCCGACTACAATGAAGTGGAGGGAAGAGAACAGCAACATCAGCAGAAATTGTTGGAAAAGTAAAGAAACGACTTTATCAAAACCCGCGTCGCAGTGGCCAAAAATGGCTCGTGAGCTGAACATATCGCAACATTCCATTCGAGAAATATAGAAAAAATAGATCGAGGTAAAGCCATTGAAATTCCAAAAAGTGCAAGAACTTACACCGCAACAGAAAGAAAATAGACTCAAAAGAGCTAAAGAGTTGCTTCGCTTGGCCAAAAGTGGTGAACTGCCGAATTTGGATTTCTCCGGTGAGAAAACAGTCGTTGTCCAGCAGTTTGTAAACAAACAAAATGATCGTGTTTACTTGCCGAAGAAGTCAGTAGAAAATGTGCACCTTCGGTTGGCCACCAGAACTCGAGCGCCGGGATGGTGTGGGCCGCTGTAACAGATAAGCTCGTATTAATCGACCGTGGCATCAGAATAAATTTCAATTATTATCGCGAGAATATTCTGGAGGGTGTATAAAATCTTTGGGCACGCAAACATTTTAGCCGCAGACCTTGGACATTCCAACAGGAATGGCTACACTATTGCACTCATCACGCGCCAACCAAAAATGGTTACAAAATGGGGTTCCTCGCTTCATTTATAGCGAACAGTGGCCACAAAAATCTCCGGATACCAATCTGTTGGGCTATTGTGTCTGGAGTATTTTGGAAAGCAAGGCTGGCACTAAAAAATACCAAGGTTTCGATAACCTGAAGCAAGCGCTTGGGAATGGGCCAAAATACCGCAGAGCAACATACGTGCAACGTATGATGGTTTCATTGGTCGTTTAAAGGCCATAATTCGTGGCAAAGGTGATCAATTCGAACAAATCTAAATTTATTTTGAAATTTGATGCTATTTCCGACAATTTTTGCTTTCATTCAATAAATTAAAAAAAAAATATATATATAAAAATTATGGCGTTTGACTTTCTTGCAGTTTTTTATCTCGCCCGCATATCGTCGTCCGATTTGCCTCTTATTGTGCACTAAACGAGTAATATTAACCCAATTTGGCACTTACGACCATATTGGGTCTAGAAACAAATCTGTCAAGTTTGGTGAAAATCGGTTCAGATATAGCTATAGCTCCCATATATTTTGTTCATCCGATTTGTTGTATGTGTCCTGCACAGCCAATGCCTCGGAAAATTTAGTAGAAATCGATTCAGGGGAGGATATTCTTCTCATATATTAGTCCCTTTAAACTTGAAATTATAACTATAATCATAGTTGCTATGATTTAATTCTCACAAATTCCCCATAAAAAAAGTATTATTTGTTATATGAAGCCCTACCAAATATGCAAACGGGTGCAGGGTATCATAAAGTCGGCCCTCCCGACTTTACTGATTTTTTATACCCTCCATCATATTACGCAGGGTATATTAAGTTTGTCATTCCGTTTGTAACACCTCGAAATATACATTTTAGACCCCACAAAGCCCTAAATTCTATATCGACTTAGCGATGTCCATCCGTTTTCCACTCTGGCTTCCGAACGAAATATAGTAGGTTGATATAATTTTACTCAAATGTATATTATGTCTGGAGGACTTTTGGTATTGAAAATGGGCCATGTAGGTCCACGTTTTGGTATAGCCCCCATACAACGGTACCTCCCGATACTCGGTATTTTGATGATTTTAGCGACATTATGCACCGGAATTGTTTCAAATTTGGTATTTGAGGTTCGTAATGGATACTACAACTTAAGACAGAAAATTGTCCGTGCAGGTCCACGTCTTCGCATAGTCCCTATATAATGGTTTTCATTTAAGTGATAGATTTCAGATTTTTTTTGAAATTTTTTAAGTTTACAGGGGATTTTTGTATAAACTTATATGAAATACGTCTTTAACCTGGCGATTTAGACTCTAGACCTCTTCAAGAATTTATAGTACAATTTTACGACAAATAATTTTGACGAATATTTTGTCTAACTACGACCCCGTTTAAAGTGAGTTTTTAACCATAGTTAGAAAGTGACCAAAAAGACCCCTTCTTTGATTCGCTTAAGGGTTAAAATGTTCATCTCAAATATTCTTCGCATTTTTATCTGCAATATTGCCGAAGACAATATGTACCTAAATTTTATGGATTTGAATTAATCTTAATTCCAAAATTTCCAAAAATGTGGAAATGCGGAACAAGCCCCCTCTATTTGGCTTACCATGTGATGAAAACTTGGAAAACCCCTATAAAAGATTATTTTTAGCTCCATTTTCATAATCTGCTAGAGTTTTCCTGTTACTATGAAAAAATTAAATTTTGTTGCACAGTTTAATTGACAATAAATTTGACCTTGGAAAACATATGATACGTTTTTTGTGATTTGTCTATTAACCCTGGAAAAACTTAGGTATATAATGCGCTATAAGTTTCAAAATTAAGGTCTGAGAATTATTTTTTTCCACTCCTCAAAATATGTCTCTTTTATTGATCTTTTACCGCCCAATACAAGTGGAGAATCAATAAAACTATGGAGCATTTTAATCAGACAACAAGCCAATTATCTAAATTGGCCAAAATGTTTTGAATTATATTACTTTAAATCCTATTTTTATTATATTCTATAAAAATTCTCCCAAAAATAAAATTTTTCAATAAAAAATCTATTTTTTTCTCAAGACACTTACCCATAACTCAATGAGCCATTCTTCAGATTGTTCCCCACGAAATTTGTTGGCTGTAATGGTAACTGATTGTTGTGTTGTGATGACAACAGCAAGTGCTGTTGTTGCTGGTGAAGATGCTGTTGCACATTGGCAGCGGTGTTGGCGGCATTGGTGGCGACGGTGGCGGCGGTGGCGTTGGCGATATTCGCATTTGAATTGACATTGGTTGGCGTGGAATTGGTGGTCGTAATAATTGGATTCTTTTGAAAACTGACCACCGACGTCGAATTATCATTGGTTGGCTTGATGAGAGCTTTCATGCAATCCTCCTTGGCCACCAGGGGCATGCTAATGGTGGAGTCATCCATGATGGTGTAGCTTTGGCAACGGCACCAAAATTAGACCGTTACCAGGTCTGGGTTTTATTAGAAAAATAAAAATTTTATCGCTAAATATTTTATAATGATGACGACGTGGACGATGATGATGATGATGCTGAGGACATCAACAACAACAATGTGGCTAAATTGGATTCTATAACTTGATTATGTAAATTTTGGGAATTTAATGCATTTTTTTGCTTTGGAGAATCCTTGAAAGGAATTGTTTCCTTTTATGTGTCTGGGGGGTAGCTTGTATATAGCTTAGAACCTAAGGGTGGAGGGGCAAAAATTGAGCTTAGTGTTTGCTTCGTGGTATAGTGGTATTTATTTCCCCAATCTTTTACTATCTCTCTCTGTCTCTCTCTTGCGCTCTATTCTGGATTTTTCTCCACTAATGAAGTTCCTGTTATCCTTTTATTGTTATTATTTTTGTTGTGTTTGTCAATAATGTTCCTCAATACTAATGGTTATTCCTGGTATTTATGTCATCAGGACAACATTCTTTGCAAATTTTTCTTTTTCTTCAGCTCCAGATTATTAATTACGGATTTTTCAAAAGGATTTACTTCTCTCCTTTGTTGAATTAAGTTTCTATGGAATATCCTGACTTCTTGTTGTCAATAAAAGCCAAAGCACACACAAAATTTAATTCATTGTCATTTCAAGTGACGGTCTGGTCTAGTGGTCGGTCACAAGGATTTTTTTCTTCGACTTTTTCTTCTTTGACAGTATCTCCGTTTCGTCCTCTCATCCAATTGTTATTAACATTCGACAATGATGCTGGTGAGAATGGCTTTCACTGGCGTTGTGTTTGTGACTTTTATTACTTTTTTGTTTTGTTGGCGATTATTTTTTGTTGCTTGTCTATTTTTCCTTCGTTTTATTTTTATTATTTAAGAGCAGCTCTTGTTGAAGTTTATTTTTGAGAACAATCAATGTTTGTGATATCTGCAAAGATAAAAATAATGAAGAAAAAAAGAGATACATTATTGTGGTTATTTGAAGTGTAAATATTTGTCTATTTTGTGTTGGGTTTTTATGGCGATTTCAAATCGGCTTTTTTATCTAAAAATAAATGTGAGATGAAAATGAAATGTTGTTGGTTTTAAGGAAAGTAAAATAAACTATAAACAGAATGCCGATAAATGTCGACTACTTAGATGACTTAAATAAAAATAAAAATTCATTGTTCGACTTTTCAGTTTAGCAGAAAAAACTGTTATATGGGGCCTACACGAAGACGTGGACCTGCATGCGAAATCTTTTGTCGTAGGTCGTAGTATTCACTACGAACTTCATATACGAAATTTGAAACAATTCCGGTGAATAAAGCCTCTAAGATCACCAAAATACAGAATACAGTGAGGTATCTATATATGGTGGAGATACGAAGACGTGGACCTGCATACCAAATTTTTTGTCATAGGTCGTAGTATTCATTACGAATCTCAAATACGAAATTTGAAACAATTCCGGTGAATAAAGTCTTTAAGATCATCAAAATTCCGAATATAGTGAGGTACCGTTATATGGGAGCTATACGAAGACCTGGACCTTCATAGGCAATTTTTTGTCATAGGTCGTAATACCCATAATGAACTTCAAATACGTATTTTGAAACGATTCTGGTGAATAAAGCCTCTAAGATCATCAAAAAACCAAATACGGGGAGGGACCGATATATGGGGTCTATACTAATACCTGGACCTGTATAGGCAATTTTTTGTCATAGGCTGCAATACCCATTACGACAAATACGAAATTTTAAACAATTCCGGTGAATAAAGTCTCTAAGATCATCAAAATACCGAATATTGGGATATGGTGGATAGGCGAGGATCTGCATACACACATTTTTTTCTCATAGGCTGTAATACCCATTACGAACTCTAAATACGACATTTGAAAGAATTCCGGTCTATAATGTCTCTAATACCATTAAAATAGCGAATATAGGGAGGTACCGTTATATAGGGGCTATACGAAAGCGTGGACCTGCAAAAGTAATATTTTTGTCATAGGATATACGGAGACGAGGACCTGCATAATATTTATTTTTTACAGGCTGTAGTACCAATTCCGAACTTCAAACACAAAATTTGAAACGATTCCGGTCTACAATGTAACTAGCATCATACAAATACTGAATAAAGAGAGGTACCATTAAATGGGGGCTATATGAAAACGTGGACCGACATGATCCATTGACGAATTTAACCTCCCTACTGACAAAATACACATGTGTGCAAAATTTTGGTCTTCTTTCTCAATTTGTTCGAATGATAGCGTGATTACAACAGAGAGACAGACAGAAGGACATTGAATTTTAATCTGCTCTAGAATATATATACTTTGTAGGGTCTATCATAACAACTTCGAGGAGTTACAAACGGACTGACGTAGTTAATATAGTATGGTGGAGGGTATAATAAAGTGGGTGGAAGTGGGTGGATGGGTGCTATAGCAACTTAATCGAACATTAATCGAACATTTTCGACCTTAATCGAATTTTAATCGAATCGAATCGAACTTAATCGAACCTTAATCGAACCATAATCGACCTTAATCGAACCTTAATCGAACATTTTTCACAAGGAGAGAACAGAACTTTCACGAACACCTAATGGAAAATTTCAACTGATTTGGTTGGAAATCATGGCAGAACATTCAAAATAGCGAAAAGGTACCATTATATGGGGGATATACCAATTAGTAGACCTGAGTGGAACATCTTTTGCAAGGAGAGACCGACCAAACTAGAACCTTTATTGTCAAGTTTTAGCTGATTTGATTGGAAATTGTGGCAGAAATCTTCAAAATTTCGAAATTCGAGAGGCACCATTATATGGGGGCTAAACTTGGACCAATATAGGTCATTTTCAATACGAATCCGCCTGCATATAATATAAGCCTTTGTGCCCAATTTCAAATCGCTACATTAAATAATGTGGACTCAATCGAGATGTCAACAGACAGAAGGATGGACAGAAGGACGGATATATTGGGATATCTGACGAATGTTTCGAGGTGCTGCAAACGGAATAACAAATTTAATATTCCCTCCATTGTAGGGTGTAGGGCATACAAATAGAAGGCACGTGTATCGATATTTCGAACATTTTCATCACCAAGCACTGTAAATGGAGGGGAGAGTTCCCCCTTTCAAACATTTTTTATACCATTAGCTATATGGCTAGAGAGGGTATATAGCACTTGATATGGCCAAAATGTGCCGCATCGAAATAACGGTTTTAGACGCTAGGTCTCTTTGGACCAAATCCATTTCAGGACATTTGGAGTCGATCTAGCGATGTTCGTCCGTCTGTCTGTCTAGTTGGCTGCTGTGCACGATAACTCTCAAAGGGAGAATCCGAATTGGTTCAAACTAGGTACAGCGGAATATTATGTCGAGTTCGGAGGCGGGCAATATCGGTGCACTCCTTCCGGTACCTGCCCCACAAAATGTCAAAATGTCGAGAAAGTACAATTCGATTTTATTGCAACTTTGCAAATGCCAATATTTGCATCATTGCTGGGTTAGGTGCAAAAATGGATAATATCGGTCCACTCCATCTAGATTCTCTCCAAATTCTCAAAATTTTTAATAATTATAACTCTTATAAAATGTGATGGACGAGTCCGATTGTTTTAAAATTTCACACGTCCCAATATTTTTATAAACCCAAGATCTGGTGTTAAGATGTAATATTTCGGTCCACTCTTTCTGGTACCTCCCCCACAAAAGGTCGAAAATTTGAATATCCATTGAGCTCATAAAACGCGATTCCATTCCATTTGAATATTTCTATAAACAAAGGATCTGTTATAAAAACGGTAGAGATCGGACCATTTCTTCTGGTACCTTCCCCTCAAAAGGTCAAAGTTTTGAATAAACAAAACGTTTATAAAATCCGAAATAAGCATCAGATTACTTTTATATTTCACACATCCCATTATTTCCACTCACAAAAAAACTGTTGTGAAGATGAGATATATCAGTCTACTCCTTCAGATACCTCTCCCACAAAGGGTGAACATTTTGACCCCTTCCATCGGTTCCATTCAGACTTGGCATATCTCAGTACTTCCATCAACACAGGATAATATAATTATGGTAGAGATCGGTCCATTCCTTCTGGTACCTCCCACACATAGAGTTCAAGATTGTGAAAAACAAAACGATCAAAGAAAGCGAAATACTCTCTCCGACTCTCTTCAAATTTCACACATACAAACATGTTTTCGAACACAATATGTGTTGTGAAGATGATATATATCTCCGAACACCTTCTGGTACCTCACCCACAAAGGGTCCCAATTTTCAATGCTTTTATCTGTCACAACTAGCAAAATAAGTCAGTGATTCCTTACAGCGTGGTATATTTAAATATTTCTCTTAACCGGAAACCTGAGATGAATATGGAATTTATGATTTCGCATAAAAGTGGATATAAATGTTCGATTTTCCTGTACCGATACCCATACCAATATTTCTATCTGTATTACATGAAGGAAGTATTAAAATGAAATACTTCAGTCGACTACAGGGTTGCCCATATTCGACGGACCCATCTGGCAACGCCATAACTTTTGACAGAGATGTCACATCGCTTAATGACATGCCGCGTTTGAAGCGTCAGTCCAAGCAGATTTTTACCATGAACCAACACACGCCACGCGAGCGCTCTGAAATAGTTGAAATTTACATTCAACAGAAGAAGTCAATTGTGAAAACTCAACGTGCTTTTAAAACATTAAAAAAATGTGAGAAGTGCGCCTTCTAAGAACACCATAAGCGTTTACACGAACAATTTTCGACTGGTAAGGCTCTTTCTAATCCGAAGAGGCCATATAAAAGTCGACCAAGGCGATCGACCGAGAATATCGCTGCCGTACGAGCCAGTGTTGAGAGGTCCCCAAGAACATCCCAAAAACGCTGTTCTCAGCAGTTGGGCATGGCTCGGTCCACTTTACAACGGATTATTCGCATTGATTTGCATTTGTTCCCGTACAAAATTCAATTGACGCAAAGAATGTTGCCTGCGGACAAGCCTCGTCGAATGGAATAGGCCTAAAGGTCCGTCGAATATGGGCAACCCTGTATATATGGTAGCTCACGCACATTCTAACATTTTCAAAAATTGATCACATATCTCATATAAAGTGAAGGAATACTTATATCATTTTTATTTTGGTCCGATACGAAATAGACAATATTGGCCCACTCCTTCGGAACCTACACTATAGAGGGTTAATAATTTGAATAATCAAAACAGAAACTAAAATATATTTAAATAATCGAACATTTGCTGAGTGTACTCATCTGTCGGCAAAACCGACTGATACTTTTTAACTTGTTTCAAGATATTTTTGGCACAATATTCGTAGTCGAAGCTTATTTTTGTATTTATTTATAGCATCAGCATTTTTTTTTTAAAGCACCCTTACCTTTCCCAACATTACCTTTACAGCTGGCCAACTCATCGCGTTCATGGCACTCATTTCGTTTTATTATTATTTTTTTTTAATTATATAATTTTGGTCATTATTGCCAGCATTTTTCGACGAGTTCTTAATAAAAATATATATTCAGGTTTGCGTTCCGTTTTTTTTTTTGTTCTCTTCAATTTTGCTTAGTATGGAAGAAAAAAAGTTGGCCATTCGTTGCGCTTTCAAGTATGAAATTAGTACTTTCATAGAATATTCATAAATTAATGCAAATTAAACAGAAAACGATAATCACACAGAAATCTACATTTGCATGAAGTCTGGCCAAGTTTACTTTCACTTCTGACATTCTACTGTGGACTTTGCTGCAATTGTGGCAGTGGCAAAAGGTTAAGTCGAAGAAAACAGCAACAACAGAAAATTGAATAGAATAATTTAAGTATGTAAAGTGGAATTATTTTTTATAGAAATCTATGATCTGCTACCAATATTTCATGATT